CCCACCTCTTCCTCACCACCTATAACTTCCCACCACCTATAACTTCCCCCACCACCTATAACTCCCACCACCTATAACTTCCCCACCACCTATCATTCCTCTCTATAAGATACTGTACCTGAGAGATAAAAAATGGGGAGGAGAAAGAGGTAAAAAGTGAGAGACGTAAATAGCTCAGAGATCAGTTGTAACTCTGCTTATCACCCCTCCTCCCTCCTCATTCTCTCTCCCTCCCTCATTCTCTCCCTCCTGCGTTCTCTCCCTCCCTCCCCTCCATCATAGGTATATTAACTCCCCCTCCGCTTCCCTCCCCACCTCCCTCTCCTCTTTTCACTTATTATTAGGAAAAACTCCCCCCCCTCCCCCCACCAGCTCGCCCCATCCACCACCTACATTATCTCCCCTCCCCTAACACCATCTCACCCTCCTAACACCATCACCCCTCCTAACACCATCCTCCTCCCCTAACACCATCACCTCCTCCTAACACCATCACCCCTCCCTAACACCCATCACCCCCCTCCCCTAACATCACCCCCTCCCCTAACACCATCACCCCTCCCCTAACACCATCACCCCCTCCCTAACACCATCCACCTCCCTAACACCATCACCCCTCCCCAACACCATCACCCCCTCCCTAACACCATCACCCTCCCCTCTCCCCCCTAACACCATCACCCCTCCCCTAACACCATCACCCCTCCCCTAACACCATCACCCCCTCCCCTAACACCATCACCCCTCCCCAGGCCCCTCTAACACCATCACCCCCCCTCCCTAACACCATCACCCCCTCCCCAACACCATACCCCTCCCCTAGCAGCCCTCCCCCACCCCCTCCTAACACCATCACCTCCCTAACACACACCCCTCACCTAAGGCAGCCCCTCCTAACACCATCACCCCTCCCCTAAGGCAGCTCCTCCCTAACACCATCATCCCTCCCTAACACCATCACCCCTCCCTAACACCATCACCCCCTCACCCTAAGGCAGCCCCTCCCCTAACACCATCACCCCTCCCCTAACACCATCACCCTCCCCTAACACCATCACCCCTCCCCAAAACACCATCACCCCCCCTCCCCTAAAACGCCCTCCCCTAACACCATCACCCCCCCCCCTACACCATCACCCCTCCCCTAACACACCATCCCCCTCCTAACACCATCACCCCTCCCTAACACCATCACCCCCTCCCTAACACCATCACCCCTCCCTAACACCATCCACCCCTCCCCTAACACCATCACCCCCTCCCCTAACACCATCACACCCCTCCCTAACACCATCACCCCCTCCAACACCCCCCATCACCCCTCCACACCATCACCCCCTCCCTAACACCATCACCCCCTCCCCTAACACCATCACCCTCCCTAACACCATCACACCTCCTAACACCATCACCCCTCCCCTAACACCACCACACCTCCCCTCCTAACACCATCACCCCCTCCTAACACCATCACCCCTCCCTAACACCATCACCCCTCCCTAACACCATCACCCCTCCTAACAGCCCCCTCCCCTAACACCATCACCCCTCCCCCTAACACCATCACCCCCCCTCCCTAACACCATCACCCCCCTCCCTAACACCCCTCCCCACCCCCACACCATCACCCCTCCCCTAACACCATCACCCCCTCCCTAAAACGCCCCTCCCCCTAACACCATCCCCCCTCCCCAACACCATCACCCCCCCCTACCATCACCCTCCCCAACCATCACCCCTCCCCAACACCATCACCCCTCCCCTAACACCATCACCCCCTCCCCAAGGCAGCCCCTCCCCTAACACCATCACCCCTCCCCTACCATCACCCCCTCCCTAACACCATCACCCCTCCCCTACCCCACATCACCCCCTCCCTAACACCCATCACCCTCCCTAAAACCTCCCTCCCATCACCTACACCATCACCTCTAACACCCCCCTAACACCATCACCCACCCCTAACCCATCACCCCTCCTAACACCTCACCCCTCCCCTCACACCATCACCTCCCCTAACACCTCCCCCCCACCCCTCCTAACACATCACCCCTCTCTTACCATCACCCCCCTCACCTACACCTCCCCAACACCATCACCCCTCCCTAACACCATCCCCCTCCCCTAACACCATCCCCCCTCACCCTAAGCAGCCTCCCCTAACACCATCACCCCCTCCCCTAACCCTTCCCCTCCCCTAACCCACCCCTCCCCTAACACCATCACCTCCCTAACACCATCACCTCCTAACATCACCCCTCCCTAACCTCACCTCACACCATCACCCCTCCTAACACCATCCCCTCCCATCACCCCTCTCCCCCTCCATCACCCTTCCCTAACTCATCACTCCCTCCCCTCCCATCACCCCTCCCCCAACACCATCACCCTACTTCTACCATCACCCCCCCCCTCCCCACTGGCATTCTCCCCTAACACCATCCCCCCCTCCCCCTAACACCATCACCCCCTCACCCTAAGCAGCCCTCCAGCCCTGAGCCACCCCAGCCTTGTGATGTTCTCTCTCTCTCTCTCTCTCTCTCTCTCTCTCTCTCTCTCTCTCTCTCTCTCTCTCCTGCCTCCACCCTCCAAATACAAACATCACACCTCCCATCCTCTCCCCACTGCTCCTCCCTCCAAATACCACGACACACCCACCCTCCTCTACCTCCTCCTCCAACTACTCCATCCTCCATCTCCTACATCACCTACATCTCCAACACCTCCTTCACCTACTCCTCCTTCAAACTCTTAACCTTCTCCTCCAAACCCTCCAACTCTTCCTCCTCCACCTCCACTTCCCATCCTGTCGCCCCTCCAATGAAGTGAGGCAATCATGACTTACTTGGAGAGAGAGAGAGAGAGAGAGAGAGAGAGAGAGAGAGAGAGAGAGTCCCCATCTCCACACTAATCCACTCACCAACTCACATAACCACCCACCTATATAATCACCCCACCCACATACATAACCACCCACCCACAAAACCACCCACCCAGCCACCCAACCAGGATATAAGGTTACAGCAGTGTGGGCGGCAGAGCATCAAGTGGGGGCGGCGAAGAGACTTAGCTTAAAATAATTCACTGGAGATAATGTTACCAGAATTAACCCAGCCAGGGAGGAACGTGAGACAGACAGACAGAGAGACAGACAGACAGAGAGACAGACAGACAGAAAGAAAGACAGTCATACAGGTAGACAGAGAGAAAGAAACACAGGCAAACAGACAGAGACAGTCATACAGGTAGACAGACAGACAGGCAGGCAGACAGACAGACAAACCTAACATAACCTAAATTAACCTAACCTCCAGTACACATCTTTGTCCGACACTGTACTCGACCACCACAACTTCCCCCAACTGTAAAGTCAGGATACACTGTAGGTACCCGGGGATCGAACCAGCATCCCTTAAGAACAGGAGACAAGCGTTATATCCACTTGTCCACCACACTCATTATGTTTGACAGCACTGACCCCACGATACACTAGAGCTGCGTTAGCGAGGGAAGGATTATAGAGACGTTGGGAAGGATTATAGAGATGTATTTAAAAGATGATCCCACCAGCAGAGAGGTAAGGTGTTAATTAAAAATGAGCCAGAACTCAACAGGTGTAGTCAGGCGAGTTATGGTAGGAATAAAGTTGGTCAAATGGAATGTCGTTTCCTCCTGGCACATTAGTACTAGGACCCATTAGTACTGGGGCCCATTAGTACTGGGGGCCATTAGTACTGGGGCCCATTAGTACTGGGACCCATTAGTACTGGGACCCATTAGTACTGGGGCCCATTAGTACTGGGACCCATTAGTACTGGGACCCATTAGTACTGGGACCCATTATTACTGGGATCCATTAGTACTGGGACCCATTAGTACTGGGACCCATTATTACTGGGACCCATTGGAACAGTCATCAAGCTAGACAGACAGACAGGTCAAAAACAATAATCTCCCAGTAGAGAATAAGAGAACGTGATGTTTATTTGAAAAAACACAGACGAGAAAGAGAGAGAGAGAGAGAGAGAGAGAGAGAGAGAGAGAGAGAGGTGTTGGAACTCCGGTCTGGAATATTTCAGCTAAATCCTCTCGTCTCCCTTTTATCTCTCTCTCACACACACCTGAAAGTTGGGGATAACAGAGAGAGAGAGAGAGAGAGAGAGAGAGATTGATTGAAATTAATTTTATTGTCTATGACCGAGTGAGAGAACGAATGAGTGAATAGGTAAGTGGGTGAATGTGCAAGTCAGGGAATAGGCTTGTGAAAAGAAATAAAAAAAACTCCGTCAGTGATTGAGTCAATAAATCACGTATAAAGATACTGGAGAAACTAAAGAAAAAATATAATGTTTAAGAAATGGAAAAAAAAATAATGATACAAAGTTTATGTGGAATAGAAATGTTTGATGTAAGGAATGACATAATATTACCTGATGCAAGAATGACGCAAAGTTGTCTAATGCAAGGAAAGAGGCAACGTTAAGTGAAGCAAAGTGTTCTGTGGCAACGTTAAGTGAAACAAAGTGTTCTGGAGCAACATTAAGTGAAACAAAGTATTCTGTGGCAACGTTAAGTGATGGAAAGTGATCTGAGTTAACATTAAGTGAAGCAAAGTGTTCTATGGCAATGTTAAGTGAAACAAAGTATTCTGTGGCAACGTTAAGTGAAGCTAGGTGCTCAGAACTGACGTTAAGTGAAGCAAAGTGATCTGAATTAACATTAAGTGAAGCAAAGTAGTCTGAAGCAACATTAAGTGAAAATAGTACTCTGGGGCAAAGCTAAGTGAAGCAAAATGAAGCAAGACATGACGCAAAGGAATTCCCCTTGTACAGGCGAAGGAGCAGTGAAGGAAAAATGGGAAAATTTCGTGTTAAGGGGAGAGGCTGGAGGGAGGTATTTAATTAATGGACGATAAATATGTAGTATTTTATAGTGATTATGTATGGGAGAGAGAGAGAGAGAGAGAGAGAGAGCTCACCCAGTTTTCTTTGTCTCAACAGGGCGAGACGTCAAAGCAGTTCCTGTGATATCACAAACCAGGTAAGGACTACTGAGGACTGTTGAAGGTAAACAAGAGCTAGTAAGGTCTGTTTAGGGGTTTTGGAGGGAAGTAAGGGCTGGTGACGGCTGTTCAAGGTTGCTGTGAGGTGGTGAGGGTGTTGAGCGCTACTTTGAGCTATGGTGGATCGGCCATGTCACCCGCATGGACGACAGTAGACTGCCAGAGCAGCTACTTTACAGTCACCTAACGAATAGTAAACAAAATGCTGGCGGGCAACTGAAAAGGTATAAGGATAGTCTTAAGACAAACCTGGTAAAGTGCCAAATCGACCCCCTCACCTGGGAGACGATTACTCCACACGAGGTGTCAATACTTTTCAGTTAGCCCGATTGCATACCGAGCCAGATAACTGCCAGCGCCGGAAATCGCTGCCGCCGCCCCTCCCTCAATAGATGTAGCCCTCCACACGTGTAACATCTGTGGACGCCCTTGTTAGTCACCGCAGAGCTCACCAAGGAATGTTGACATCACTAATAACTCATATTATTGTGTAATCGTTGGATGATCGTCAGACTCGACTTGGAATAGCAGCAAAGTAATAGTACTGCTGGAAGGTCTCATGAGGGCCTTAAAGGTAAATATACGCAGGTGAGGGCTAATTAGTGTTTTATTTTTTAACTTTTGAAAGGATATAAGGGCTGATGATGGCTGATAAGGGGCGATGAAGAGTAATAAGGGCTGGGGAAGGGGTGTGAGGGCCTACTCACCCAACAGTATTCCAATACACTGAACATATATCACAGACGAGTGTGGCTCAACGGTGACTCAAGTACGTGTTGTTTACTATCAATACACCTTATAGTCGGCTTCTGAGGCCGCAGTGAACGGTACACACAGGGGGAACAGATAAATAAGAGGATAAGAGGAGAACAAAGAGGTCATAGATACAAAGAACAGGATAATGAACAAGGGATAAAAGTGACGTAATGGATAAATGTAAGGCACAATAGATAACAAGAGAAATTATATACGAAAAGCGGAAGATAATAATAATAATAATAATAAACGCACGGTATAAGGGAGAATGAAACAAGGTAAACAAGGTAAGTAATGTTTAAGAAATTAAAAGAAATAAGAGAGAGAGAGAGAGAGAGAGAGGCTGCATCTGTCACCAAGGCATCACAAGCATGTCTCCTCAGAAGGCCACACGACCTCCCCTCACTCTCCCCTCACCCTCCCCTCCCTTCTCCCTCCCCTTCCCTCCCCTCCCTCGTAACCTCTAACCTCTCCTCACCTCTTCTCACCCTAATCCTCCCCTCACATCTTCTCCCTTTCTCCTCCACCTAACCTCCCTCATAACCTCTCCCCTCTTTGCACCCTTCCCTTAACCCCCCACCACCCCCCCTTCCCTGCACCACTCAGCTTACCGACCTTCCTCCCCTCACTAGAGTTCAATCCTCCCCTCGTACTTCCCCCATTCTACCTTCCCCTCATCTTTATCAGTCCACTTGTACCTCCCCTTCCATTTTAACTCTCACCCCTCTCTCCCTTCCCTCACTTTACTACCCTCCCCTCCTCCTCTCACAGGTCCGGTCCACGTCTGTAGTATTGTTGGTCTTCATCATTTTTTAGTTCAGGAGATCGAGCTTTTGGCTGTCCCTCTTGCCTGTTTGTACCCTCTCTGTGTGTGTGTGTGTGTGTGTGTGTGTGTGTTTACTTAAATATTTGCCTGTCTATCAATCATTTAAAACATTACTGTAGGATTCATCAGATATAAACCAAGAAGAAGAAGAAGAAGAAAAATTATCCCCACTCTTAACTTATACGTAAAATGAACGACCTAAGTTTCAACGTTCAACAGATAAGAGAGTATAAGAACAAACACTGTACTTGTGCATTAATGGATATCCTTCCTGACCTGTGTGTGTGTGTGTGTGTGTGTGTGTGTGTGTGTGTGTGTGTGTGTGTGTGTGTGTTTGTGTGTGTGTATAAAACATACCTCCCTTACCTTATATACTGTATAATATATCCAGTGAATATAGTATATAGGCAATATTTTACCTCGTCATATCTACCGTTATATCGTATATCTATATATCGTATATCTACCGTTATATCGCATATCTACCTGTTATATCGCATATCACCGTTATATTGTATATATACTGTTTTATCGCATATCTCTGTTATATCCATATCTACCGTTATATCGTATATCTACCGTTATATCGCATACCTGATATATCTCGTTATATTGTATATCTACCTGTTATATGTTATGTTATCGCATATCTACCTGTTATATCGCATATCTACCTGTTTTATCGCATATCTACCTGTTATATCGCATATCTACCTGTTATATCGCATATCTACCTGTTATATCGTATATCTACCTGTTATATCGCATATCTACCTGTTATATCGCATATCTACCTGTTATATCGCATATCTACCTGTTATATCGCATATCTACCTGTTATATCGCATATCTACCTGCATATCTACCTGTTATATCGCATATACCTGTGCATATCTACCTGTTATATCGCATATCTACCTGTATATCGCAATCTACCTGTTATATCGCATATCTACCTGTTATATCGCATATCTACCGTTATATCGCATATCTACTCGTTATATCGCATATCTACCCGTTATAATGCATAATTCACCTGTTATATCGCATAATCTACCTGTTATATCGCATATCTACCTGTTATATCGCATATCTACCTGTTATATTGCATATCTACCTGTTATATCGCATATCTACCTGTTATATTGTATATCTACCTGTTATATCGCATATCTACCTGTTTTATCGCATATCTACCTGTTATATCGCATATCTACCTGTTTTATCGCATATCTACCTGTTATATCGCATATCTACCTGTTATATCGCATATCTACCTGTTATATCGTATATCTACCTGTTATATCGCATATCTACCTGTTATATCGCATATCTACCTGTTATATCGCATATCTACCTGTTATATCGCATATCTACCTGTTATATCGCATATCTACCTGTTATATCGTATATCTACCTGTTATATCGCATATCTACCTGTTATATTGCATATCTACCTGTTATATCGCATATCTACCTGTTATATCGCATATCTACCTGTTATATCGCATATCTACCTGTTATATCGCATATCTACCTGTTATATCGCATATCTACCTGTTATATCGCATATCTACCTGTTATATTGTATATCTACCTGTTATATCGCATATCTACCTGTTATATCGTATATCTACCTGTTATATCGCATATCTACCTGTTATATCGCATATCTACCTGTTATATTGCATATCTACCTGTTATATCGCATATCTACCTGTTATATTGCATATCTACCTGTTATATCGCATATCTACCTGTTATATCGTATATCTACCTGTTATATCGTATATCTACCTGTTATATCGCATATCTACCTGTTATATCGCATATCTACCTGTTATATCGTATATCTACCTGTTATATCGCATATCTACCTGTTATATCGTATATCTACCTGGTATATCGGCGACATAACTCACATGCCCTCAAGACAAGAGAGACCAAGTGAAACAAAGAGAGATTGTAATACTAAGTTATCTAAGAGGAAATTCCCTGGAGAAATATATCACCCAGACACACACACACACTGTATATCTCTGTATGGTTGTGTGTGGTTCTGTGTGGTTCTGTATGGTTGTGTGTGGTTGTGTATGGTTGTGTATGGTTGTGTGTGGTTGTGTATGATTCTGCGTGGTTGTGTGTGGTTCTGTATGGTTGTGTGTGGTTGTGTATGGTTGTGTATGGTTGTGTGTGGTTGTGTGTGGTTGCGTGTGGTTGTGTGTGGTTGGGTATGGTTCTGCGTGGTTCTGTGTGGTTCTGTATGGTTGTGTGTGGTTGTGTATGGTTGTGTATGGTTGTGTGTGGTTGTGTATGATTCTGCGTGGTTCTGTGTGGTTCTGTATGGCTCGTGTATGTCGGAATCCCAGAGGAAACGGCAGGTTTAACTCATTCTGTTCAACTCCCAACGGTGGGTTGAGCTCAGAGAAATAGTGGGCATACACTGTATCGTCGACGTAAACTGGGTGTATGGATTGTCATTATTTCCGTGTCGTGTTACGTGAGTTTGAGTGTCGTGGGGTGCGTGTGTGGTGGTGGGGTGTGGTGGTGGGGTGTGTGGTGGGGTGTGGGTGTGTGTCAGGGAGTTGGTGTTTGTTTACATGTGAGTCTCCCCTTCGAGGCTGTATGTGTGTTTACAGAGTCCAGACTTTCCCCCTTGTAGTGAGGTCACGTGCCACACGCCCTCACTCCACGCCCACACGCCCTCACTCCACGCCCACACGCCCTCCATAAACAACTACACTTCCTCCCTTATACAACTACGCGCCCTCCTTTATACAACTACACACCCTCCCTAACACCCCTACACGCTTAAACGGTACATCCTCTTTTACACCCCTACACGCCCTCCTTCCCTCCATGGCCTACACGCCCACCCTCACACGCCCATGAGAGCTCGTAAAGTACTCTCCCTCCGTGTTAGGGATAAAGTTTCCCCCGTTGTCAAAAATTTCCCCTCCACACAGTCCGCCTCTCCCCATCTACCTGCACTGTACCTCACGGGCGAAGTTCTCCCTGCCAGCTGTCGGAATTTCCCTGTCCATCGGAGGGTAGATACCTGGAGCGAATAAAAAGGTATATAAATAAATAAATAAATGAATAAATAGACAGAAATGAATAAATAGATTGATAAATTCATAAACAGACAGATATGAATAAAACAATAGATAAATGCATAAATAAGACAAATGAAAGAATGAACATAGGAAAGAATAAATGCAGAAATGACTAAATAAATGGATCATTTAATAAATTTAGAGAGATTGAGTAAATAGCTAGACAAATTAATGAGTAGATAGATAAATAATATAATAAATACATAGACAAATTGATAAATAAGACAGATTAATAAATAGGAAAAATAATAAATACACAAATAAATCAATGAATATATAG